GACTTTTTAGTTTTGATCAACTGAGCAATTTTAAATAGAGTTGAGTTGAAAGTGTTTAGTATAACTGGGAAGCCTAGACCAACACCAGCTACTAGTTTCCCTCTTTCCTTCTGAACTAGATTAGATCAACTGATAATAGCTCACATCTTTGGAGCACTTTGACATGGCAGTCATTGCTTTATGTGYATTATACATATTATCTCAACAAACCTTTGACATCAGTATTTTATTAATGTCATCTTACGTGTCAAGGCCCAGAAACTGGAAGTCTATACAGCTAACAAATGAGAGAGCTAGGATTTGAACTTAGGCCGTGAACTGGCACAGTGTCTGATTTCTGCTCTTTTATCTGAAAAAAAGTATTTACTTGTATTAGTTACCTAGTACATTTCTTGGTGTTGACTTAAATTATGATTCTGTTGTATTTCTCCCAAACAGAATCTGTTTTATGTCATCTGTTTTTTATCACTTTATTATTATTCACTAATCACTTTGTTATCCTGATTCTTGATTGCTAACAACTGAATGGCACTTGATTTTTCTACATGGAAATTATCTGCTCTTAGCCTAGATACTTATTTCAATATTGCTACTATTGAGAAAATAGATTTATTTCATAAATTCTTAAATATGGTAGTAGTCCATTTTCATTTGGTTTTGTTACAGAATAAAATGTTCTTCATATCTGAGTTTTCCACATGACTAATCATACCTTTTCAAATGCCAATTCTAAAAAAAGAAAAAAAATGATAATATTTTGAAGGATTTCTGAGATGACTTTCTTAAAAAAATAAGTCCAACAGAATCTTTCCTTTATGACTCAGAATCATCCTGATGAATGCCTGTTATTTTACTATTAAGCAATTCACGTTTGTCTACTTTTTAGTATTTTTATTTCCTTAATATCATATCAACCACTGTCATTTTTTTCTCTTTAGATTTTCTTATAAAATAATTCTCCCTATACACTAATTACATTTATGTTGTGGGTTGGAAATAAAACAATCATATTTTTAGGTCCATTCACTTAAAATAAAAGCAAATAGTATATGTCAGGAACAACAATTTAGGATTTAGTGAGAACTATTTTTGATTATTATTTTCTTGACTTGGAAGTATTTTTTTATCACTTCAGAATTATGAGTCATGTTTGGGAGGGGCTGAAGCTACTAAAAGTTGAGTCTCTAGACAAGAAAAACAGTACTTATTTTTTAAATTATTAATAAATATAGAGCACTTTACACTGAAGTACTCAAACCTATTTTATAATATGCTCTTCATTAACATTTTGAAGTAGTTGTGGTCAAAGAAAGTTATGCTATATAGAATTCTCTTTACTTTTAAAGTTTGTTGATCATTCTGTTGCTTCAGGGTTTGAGGTGAAATAATGCTATGAATGCATAGAGCTTCCCAAAGTTGCACAAGGCTATTTACATAGTAACCGTTCTTTTAAGATGAATTTTTATTTCCCATTATGCTTATGTGTTGGATATCCAAACAAAAAATAAACTGGAGTTTCTTGGTAGGTTTGTTGTTGAACTTTAGCTGTGTGGGCAAAGCAAATAACACATGTTGAAGAAGATTAATTAGTGATTATTTTGCTGGGAAGAATAATGTTGCTGAGCCATCTGGTATACCTTTGTTGGGAGGGCCATCTCAATGGATTACTCATTAAAATCTTTCAATACTTTGTTCCAAGACTGTCAGGCATCTCTCAGGTTCTTATTAAATTAAGATGATGCTGAAATTTAGGAGTAGTTAGATCACAGGATATTGTGTCTCCATGTTTATCACTGACAATAAACAAGTCAATCATGAGAATATGACTCGAAGCCACTCTCAGATCTTAGTGTCATTTATGCCATTAATATCATCATTATCTTTTCCTATCACAAAATAGCTACAGTGCTACAATGGCCCCACTTCAAAAGCCTATGAAAGTATTCTGAAAAGACAATATGAACATCTATATTATCTCAGAAGAGTTCTGCAAGCTGTTCATAATCACAACACAAAATAATTAGATTGGCATTTTTCCATATAGCACTGTTTTTTGTATTCTTGGTGGGCCATTTATACATAAATATACTTATTCTTTCATTCAGTAATATTGATTCAATAGCTATTTTTTTTTCTGTTGACAAACTGCTAAGTGTATAGTCTTAAACAACAGAAAATTTTCCCCAACTTCCTGATTTTCCACCAAGTCATTTATTCTGCCCTGGAGGCCAGGTCATCTGAAGTTTGTACTATGGAGCCCCATGCTCCCTGTAATCTCAATCTCTCTAGGTTTCTATTTTCCCTAAGACCCTGGAATAATTTTATAATCCTTGTTAAAGATGAGTCTTCTTAAATACTATGTCAAGTGGTTTGACTTTCCCTCCACATACAAGGTATGTATGACTCRTGTAGAAACTAAAGTTTAATCTTAGATATAGACCCTCACCAATATAACTCTACTGAATACAAGGCATGATGCCAAATTATCAAAACCAATCACCTTAATCATAAAATTATAGATCATGTGTATTTATTAGAAGGAAAATAAAATGATGATATATAATCAAATAAAATTGAATATTTACCTCMAAAAGGAGGTATAAATTACTAGCTAACTCACTCTTTATCTTTTCAATCACCAAGGATTTATTAAGGCCTACTAATAGGCCTTAATGGCGCTGCTACACGAAGAAGAACTGCAAACATAAACCTTGCCCCTACGAATGTCTGAACTGTAGCAGAGTTAGTATCTAAGGAGATGCAGGGTACTAAGAACGTTCTGATGCTCATTAGCTTGTCATTTTCTTTTCTGCAACCTCCCTGTATTTACTTTCATTATATTTTTCTGATTCTCATTAACACTTTAACACCTAACTGGTTCTGTTGACTATGTGGGTATCTTTATTTTAAGTCCCATTCTTCCCTATATTTAGACTTCAGAAACTCTTGACTCTTTCTAGGGAACTGAGTTTCCCTTTATTTTATCTGTACTCTGCAACCTTCCTTATGTGTCATAACTTAATTTCTTTTTGGAAAGTATGCTAAGACTATTTTTCCAAGGCCACAGACTCTGGGACTAAATTCACAAATATGGCTTTAAGAAGACAAGTGAGCCACCTCAATTTGAAATCCTACAACGGATGTTATATGTTGTCTTGCCCAGTTTTCCTTGACAGGGTGGTCTAGGAATTCATAACTTGACCAAAGCTGTGAGGACCTGTCTGTTGTTATGGCCCAGCTGCCCTCATAGAGACTCTTACCATTTTAATTGTATGGATATTTTTAAAATGAGGTGAATGTGGAAATAAATAGTATTTGGAACTGTCAACTTCTCTTAGTCATCTTAGAAAAGGGCAATTTCTGGAAGTATATAACCTTATAACCTTAAATTACTTTGGAATTTAAAAAATCATAAAAATTAGTGAGTGTATAAATAATGAAACACAATAGCTACCATACATTTAATTACTATGGCATACAAGGCATTATTCAACTTTATTACATATGTTCTTATGTATTTCTCATACCAATATGGCAAGATGTGCTTATTACCTTGATTAATAGGTGGGTAAGGCACAGGAAATTTAAATAACAAGAGACATTGGGATCTCCAAATGTTTTGTTCTTCCTACAACATCACACTAGCTCCAGAGTTTTAATAAGTATGTAGGTATGCTGGAGAAAGCAGCACATGCTTTGAAAAGACTTTGACTTTAGATTGAAAGGATATAGCAATTATAGATATTGATATGTATCTGTTTGTAGAAAAGAACATTCTATGCAAGAAGGTATTTAATTGGGGGTATAGAGAAGAAGAGGGAGTCATTTAATAACAATCTTCCAAGGATATAGCAAAGAGAAAGATTACATAGTTATTCTTTATTATCATCAGAAACAAGGAATTAAAAGGATGGAGGTAGAAGAAGCTGTCAATTAAAATGTTTGCAATGTGTTATACACCCATTACAAGGAGCATCACAATACCTAATGACAGATAAAAATTTAAGTTAATTAATTATTAACCAATATAAATGTAACAGGGAAGGAGAAAGGGAATGTCTGTGGGTTCAGTTACCATTTTAAAGAAAATCATTTTAGCTACTTGTATAAAAAACAAAAACAAATCTATAAATAAATTGTATATAAACATATGTAAATAAATAAGTCTAATTTTGGTATTTTCTAGAAAACTATTTGTTCTAGAAAACTATTTTTTCACAATTCCATATTTTCTAGATCTCAAGCTAACAAATACCATGTTGTCCCTGCTTAAATGCAACAATAACTCTATTGACCAAATGTTATTAACTCTTTTGTTGGAAAAAATGGTTCATCTATATAGAGTCCATCTGTATTATAGCATTATGTTCTGAAATTGTCAAATAACTGTCTTCCTAGTCCATATCTAAGATAGAATAGTAGAAGCTATACTGGACAATCCAAGAACTCTATTGCCTTAATAGTGCAGCATAAATGGTTTTAGATGCCTTAACATTACCTTTTAGCATCAAGTAATAGTGATCCCTGTCATTAGAGAAACTGCTGATAGCATTAGATATCTAAGAAATAGGCAGGGGAGTGATGCAAGTGGAAACATTTAAAAGTATAAATTACTATATAAATGCCTAATAGAATTATTTGTGGAAGAATATTAACACACATCCCTTCTATGAAGAAGCTAGATTCCAAAGACTCAGAAGAAATCTCTTGTGTCGTTGTTCCATAACTTTATTTTTCCCTGAATGGGTAGTCATGGGATGAGGCTGGTCACTGTATAATCACTCACTAGTAGAAATCAAAACCAAGTTAGTACTCTGTGTGAAAGAACTGAAAAATAAGTTCAAACAAAGCCAGCTTCCAGATGCCAAGAATTTGAATGCACAAATGTGCTCAAGGAGAAGCAAACAAAATGTTACACACTTCTGAATGAATGATAAAAAAAAAAAACACGTTTTTCAAAGTTTTATGTGTTCTTGTTTTGTGTTGCTTTCCTAAAACAGTGGAGGCGCTCCATTTGGGAACATTAATGGCTGCCCATGGATACTTCTTTCCAATCTCAGATCAYGTACTCACGCTCAAGGATGATGGCACCTTTTACCGGTTTCAAGTAAGTTGAAATGAAAATGTTCTTTTACATTAAACTAGAACCTGGCATTTTGTTGGTTATTCTATTTTTCTTAAACAGAACTTTTGAGAACTAGGCCTTATTTTTCCTTGACTTAGGCTTTTCAGAAACTAAAGTTAAGACATAAAAAACAGAGAAGATGGGAAAATGCTTAGTCCAGATAATTTGTGAAAGCGAAATTGTGTAATGATTGAAGTCATATTTTAATGTAAACTTAAGGAAAATTCACAAAATTACTTAATGGAATCCTGGAAGATGGGAGTCTTTTGTTCCTGCAATGCATCTAACTAGTAGGAAGTAAGTTGAGAAATGAAACTAAATTTATCATACCCTGGCCACTGCCTGTGATCCAGAACTACCTTTCAGTCCAAGTAAGCTCTTAAGGGAATGCTTTAAGCTCCCAGATAGAATTTTACTATTTGTACAAGCACTGGACTTGTTCATGTCTGAGATTTTTTACAAGTCTGTGAAGACTAACTTGCATAAACTCCACCCAAGACAGGAGAATACCTTAGATAGTATGCAAACTGGTGAGTCACTCTGGCTCATTTCCAAATGACATAGACGCAGTTATTCTTTTGAGAAATGGTTGTAGACTTATTTCCATGATTGTGCATGCAGCCAACACTTGGTTCACAATKATGTAACAAAAGTGTACTCTGTATTTCATTAGAAATAATGGTTAATTCATAACTGATGGGTAGATTCCAGCCTATAAAATTAAAGTGCATATAATGCYAGAGTTCACTCTCTAGCTTATTGGCTGAGGTTATTTTTCTGTACAATCTCCTGATTGTTCAACTTTTAGAGATTGCAACATTTCCCCCACTTGTTTTGAATATTATTAGATGCTCTTTGTCTGAAAAATTGAAGAATAGCAATTTGATTGGCTAAACCTTGTTTGGAAAAACAGAGAAAAAAGAGCAAATATGCTTAAAAATTATTTTCAASTATCTGGGCTGGAGTTGTAGCTCAGTGGTATAGTGTTTGCCTACCGTGTGAGATATTGGGTTTGATCCTCAGCACCACATAAAATAAATAAATAAAATAAAGGTATCATGTCCATCTACAACTAAAAAAAATTTTAAAAATTATTTTCAAAGATCATTGGCTTCCTAAAACTCTCTCACTGCTATTTCTTTAAGACTATTTTATCTCAATGCAAATAAGCATAGAGTGTTTTTGCATTAGTTGCCGGTAACAAGGCAATCTCCTAAAACTCTCATACTAATCTTAATAGTCAAGCACTTTATAGCAGCAATTTTTTGTAATTTAAAAAGGTTGTAAAATAATAGTCTTTATATGGCTAAACTTTAATGGTAGCTTAAAACAACCTATTGTTAAGATAACTTGTGGTCATATGGGTTTACATTTTAATACATAGGAAATATTATTGATTAGCACATACATTGCTTTTATGTGACTATTACTTCTTGATTTTTAAAAGTCTCTTACTATTGCAGAATTAAACATTTCCCAAATGATCATATTGTTATAYAGAATTTTCATATACAAATTGGAAGTAAACTTTACAAAATTCTCACAAATTCTAAAGGAAAGTTTGGTTTATGTTTGCAAAAGTTAAAACTTTTTATTTATCTTCAAAATCAGTATTAATGGTAAAATTATCTATATGTCRAAAAACTATCTATAGGGAAAACAGAATATATTCTATCCTTTGAGAATTATCTAATTCAAGAATTTTCTATGAAACAAACTAGGTCAGACAGAACCCAACATTAGTGATGATGGGTTGAATTAGCGATAACGTGAGATTTTTATCTCTACTGTTGTTATTCCAGACTGAAATTAGTAGGCAGACAAGGTATAAAGGTCTTAGTCATGCTCATGAGTCAAAAATGAGCAAAGCTTGGAAGGCACCACGTACATTCAGGAAAAAAAGAAAGATATTTTAAAGAATTTTTCAAATATAGCAACAGAATAGGTGCAAACAGCATATTAATTTAATGACTACAAGGTATAGTACAGGGTTATAACATTCAACGGACTGATGAATATATGAAATATGTGTGTGTGTGTATATATATATATATACACATATATATAATGTACATACACATCTGTAGTAGTATCTAAATATAATAGATACTATTACTATTTAAAGATACTATTTATAAATGATTAATGAAGCATAGAATCCTAAAACCAAAATTTTAAAAAATCAAAACCAGAAACTCAGGGTTAATTGAATTGTTCCTGTAATATCTACCAAGGCATTAATCAATCTATATTTGGAGAGATCTAATAATAGAAAACACATTATTGGTCAAAGTATTCACTTTCCTTTTTATGTTGGTTCCAAGCAACAGAAAGGTCTTCATTACATTGAATTGAAATTCAAGTCCTCAAAAGGATTTTAAAATTCATGAATTAAAATGGAAAACGTTAGGATGCCATGTTTGCTATTCATCCAGTGAATGATGGATAGTGCAACCATCACTTAAAATCCAAAGAGCTTCTAGGGCATAAGTTCAAGAGAAACAAAACTTTTAATTTCATTGGCATGCCACAGTATATTTGTCTCAAATTTTCAGTGCATGTTTTAATCAGATGTAAACTTACAATTATCTAATCATCCTCTATTTGCTAATGGGAATTGAGATCTGACATGATTCTCCAGGCAGGTCTCTGTTATAACTCTCATCACCTTTAATGGATGTGCCACAGTTAAGCAATGACTGAACAATATTAGATGAGTTTTTGATAGATAAGGAAACCAACAGTGAAAAACACACTCTTGCATTAAAATTTCCTAAAGTGTAGTAGTACTATGAAAATAGGTTTTTAAATTTCAATGACCTAAAAGGTCATTTTTCTCAAATACTATCCATCAGTAGAAATCATAACATTTTTTTCCCTAGGAAAAATCCTCCARTGTTATAAATATTGGCTTTGTGACATTTCCATGTAATATCACAAGACAAAATTCTTTATCTTTTATTTTCACAGCAATGAAATTTTCAATAAAGTAAATGACAATAGAGTTAAGAATAGATGAAAAAATTCCTTTCATTTTGAGGGGAAAAAATGTATATGTCTGACCAGTCTGACTAGGATAGATATTTTACATTTAGATAGATTTGTATGCATGGACATGTGCATACACACACACACAACACACACACACACACACAAAAGAAATACAAAAAGATTAATGCACTTTATATGAAATATCTCAAAAGCCAGCATCCTAAATTAAAGCATGCTTTTAGTTACTTTATTTTTCTATGATGCTCTCCTAGAATCCTGATCCAATTTTTTTAAGAAATCAAATCTTTCAGAACTCTGCCTCCTACAGAGGCAAGTGGAATTGGGGGAGATGAGCATGTTTCATATAAGTCTTAATAGCCCCTTTATTTTGTGGTTCACTTTTTTTCTTCTAAATCCCAGATGTGATTTCATTCATACCTGCACAAAACTACTATTAGCTTTTTTTTATTATACTGTAGTAATTCCCAAGAAAGAGTAGAGGTTAAGTCAAAATCCCCTGGTGTTCTCATTCAGTTTGGAAAGACTTCCTCTCCCAGAAAATCAAACAGTTCTCCTCAACTATTCTTTCTAGAGAATCATTCTTTTACAGATAGAATGGTCAGATTATCAGAGATTTCCCAAAATGTGCTCATTGTGCATGGCTTGTCAACATACTTAATTAATAAGTGCAGTGAACTCCACAAAGCTGATGTCTGTAATCACTGTTCTATTCAGTCCTGAGGCATCATCATTCCAGGAAATATGGTGAGAGAAGCAGACAAGTGGCCATCATGCCTTCTTATGATCTGTAGGAGCAGTGAGCCAAGATAAAGAGTTCTTTTAAAAAATATAAAATGATAATGTTAGTGATAATAATAGTTTTTCTTGATCAAACATTGTTTTTATAATTTAGTCAATCAGTTCCTAGAATTTTACAGAATCAGAATTCTGCCTATTGTTCAAATAAGACATTATTATTTTGATAATGATCTCTGGCTTGTTTAGTTTAAAACTTTAGAGCAATAAATGTCCTTATGAAAGGAATATTTGAAGAGTGAAAGTAAAACGCTGTTTCAATATAGTTGGATAGCTTTGAGATCTGCATTATATAATTAATAGAGCCAGGAAAATGATTGCCAGACCTCAGAGGAAGATTTTTGTCAATTGAGCTTTTTGGATCCATCAAAGGCAATGTTGAGATACATGATAGATAGAAAACAATTGGTTATTTTTAGAYAATTTTCATCACAAGTCTTGCTGAGTATAATACTCTACTTTCAGTCCTCCCTGTGGATGAAAACTTGTTTGTTTAAATGTTGCAATCAGAACTTTTATGTCCATTGGCTAGAATTGCAGCAGTGTATAGCATTTAAATGCCTGCTGGTACAGCATATGTTTAAAAGGTTGAGCCATTGGTCAGAAAATAAATGCAGATGCAAAATCTTAAAATGTCTCTCTTGGAAATTGTTCTGAGTTATAAAACATATTAACTAACTGTTCTAGATAATTGTTGACGATGAATACASCTAATAAATCAGAAATACACCAAATTTTTATTTGTCTAACCTTTCACTTCTCTTTGTTCCACAGACACCCTATTTTTGGCCATCAAATTGTTGGGAGCCAGAAAATACAGACTATGGTTAGTGCAATATCTCATCATTTTATTATTGATTGTCAGTATGTCTGGATTAATGTGTACTTGCATTTTATTACATTTGTCAACAAGAAAGGGAAACCATAATTCTCAGTTTGGGATTAATATTTCTAACATTAAATTTACAAATGGCCTTGTTTAGAAAGTTATCAAACCTAGTGGTAACTTTTTCCATGTTATACTGCTCTTTGCAACTGTAGAGAAGATTCTAAATCGATTAAACAGTTATAAATAAGTTTAAAAAGGTTATTATTATTTTTTCATGGTACCCTGGATTACTAGAAAGAACAACAAAAGATCTTAAAGAGCAAGAGCTCTATTTCAGATCTCCCACTTTGCTGTGTGGTTTTTGGCAAGTCCTTTGACTTCTCTAGATTCCACTTTTCTCACTAATACAGGAGGCATTTTGTTGTTGTTGTTGTTACCAGGGATTGAACTCAGAGGCACTCAACTACTGAGCCATATCCCCAGCCCTATTTTTATATTTTATTTAGAGACAGAGCCTCACTGAGTTGCTTAGTGTCTCTCTTTTTTTTGAGGCCAGCTTTGAACTCACAGTTCTCCTGCCTCAGCCTCCCAACCTGCTGGGATTATAAGCATATGCCACTGCACCTGGAAAGCCATCTTATAATTCTATAAACAAAAGGGTTCATTAAATATGAAGAGGCCAATTGCAAGCAAAATAAAATCAATCACAATTTTAATCCTAATAAAACAMATTCAGTGAATTTAGCATAAATTTGATATAACAACCATGATTTCAATTAAACACAAGAAAAAAGTAAGTACTAAAAATGAACATGAGTATATCAATATGTAAATCAATGAAGTGTAACTGATGGGATTCTGCAAGCTGTATATGGGGTAAAATGGGAGTTCATAACCCGCTTGAATCAAAGTGTGAAATATGATATATCAAGAACTATGTAATGTTTTGAACAACCAACAATAAAAAAAAGAAAAATAAATAAATAAAACATAACAGCTCCAAAAAAAAATAAAAAAATAAAAATGAATACTACTAAGTATTCACTCTCTTCCTAAAATCGACAATTTTCAAAAACAAGATTGGATTTTTTAGTGTTATTTCTACAAATACTTGTGGAGAATTATTCCTATGCTAATTGCTGCAGTAGGTTACTAGAATAACAAAGGTGACTGACTTCTGTAGCATTGGGTAGCTCATAGGCTAGATGAGAAAGCTGAAAAGAAGTCACCATTGAGTGCCAAGGGAATATAGCAGTGTTATGAGCAACTAATGTGGAAATTTAAAAGAAGGGGAAGTTGACTTTACTTGTGGGAAGTGGGATGGTTTCGGGATGATTTCATACAAGAACTGGAAACATTTAATCTGAATTTTAAAGGAGAGGGGGCTTTGTCAGGCATAGAGGCAAGAAAAGCCTTTGAGGGAAAGARTCTAACATGATATGCAAAGGCAGTGAGAGCTTTCACAGCAACTTGGCTTTCTTTGATACTGCTGCCAGAGCAATGTCTTTGGAAGAAAAAGCCTGGGAAAAGCCCTGGAGCACCAATGGAGCTGTCCTTCACTTTTGACATTGCCCAAACTGTAATTTAATGGTTCATCCAAGAGGGGTTAGTTGCTAGTTAAAGGAGTCAAACTAACATATCTCACAGAAAAAATCTAAAATTTAATATTAAAGAGACTAGATGATTCCTTTCCAGTAGTGGAAATGCCAGTTTCTTCATGCAGTAGGAATTGAGCCCAGAACCTGCTGCATGCACTACAATGCTATTCCCCAGTGCACGATGTTGACTTTCTAATGCTGATGGAATAATTCAAGCTAGTATGCCTAAGGAAACTTGGCATTGTTCTTCTCACATACTCAATAAATCAAAATTAAAACACTGCCTCTGCTTATTCTCAGTGCTTCTCTATCCATATTCTGTGGTTTTCATAAATGTGTTACCGAGATCACAATTAAAGCTCATGTTTTATGACTTTACGTAGATTGATGTTTCCATGGTAAGCCTGAGGAAATGTCATGGCCTACACAGCCCATCATTTATAGAAAATCCCTCAAAGTGGGTCATCCAACATGATTAATGTCATTCAGCTTCTCACTAATTTATTGATGCCCACTTCAGAGGTGGTCATCTTCTAAACTTTTTCCTAAAATCTAAAATGCCTGCTTGTTAACTAACTGCAGACATAGTCTTTAATTATTGTATTTGTTTACCCCCCGAATGTAGTCTTGTTKGTATGTAGCTGGTATTAATTATATATAAGCAAAGAATAAAATATTCAATATGAGTTCATGTGGCAGGGTGGGGGGGCGATGAAGAGATAGAATTGAGGATGATTCAGATACTGTAACTCTCCTTCAAGCAATGCTGTTTCATCTTCTGTGATTTTTCTTTTTTAGATGCAAATGAATTATAGCAGCAATTTGAGTTATCCAACATGTAAAGTCCTACTGCCATTTGTTTAAAATACACTGTTATAAAAGCTGCACCCTTCTTTTAAGATGATATTGAAACCATGATGTACTTAGGCTGGTGCAAGTACAATGCATGGTGACTACTTCGACTGCAATTTCTAAGACAACTTTTGGGMAAAAAGGCTTTTATTGCATAAAACAGGGTTAAAAAAAATTATCTCACTCTATTCGCATTCCAACTTATTTTTCTATCACTGATTTGAATTTACTGTGTAGGTTCTGCAGAACATAAAACCTCTATACATCAGTTTATAAGGAAAAATACTTTTCCATGGTTACCTTGGTCTTATAGAGAAACAGAATGTATTTATTATGACTAAGATAAGATGAATCAATATACAGGGTCTACATTTCAACGAACYCCACTTTTTGAAAATCAAGTTGGTGCTGGGGTGTAGTTCAGTGGTAAAGTACTTACCATGTGCTAGGTAAGGTAGATTTGATCCTTAGCACTGGGGGAGGAAGAGGACCAAGAATACTGTTGAAAATCAGATTCGATAAAATATCTGATATTTTTCACACAAGTCCAAAAAAATTTATTCCAAAATGGGATTCCCCAGGTATATTTGCATATAGCACACAAAAAATATACAAAAAAAAATACTCAATGTCTTTAGCAGTCAGGGAAATATAAATCAAAACTACACTGACATTTCACCTCACTCCAGTTAGAATGGCAGTCCTCAAGAAGAAAAATGATAAATGCTGGTGAGGATACAGGAAAAAGGAACCCTGGCACACCGTTAGTGYGATTGTAAATTAGTACAACCACTGTAGTAATCAGTATGAAATGAAATGTCCTCAAAAGACTAGGAATGGAACTAAAATATGATCCAGYCATATCACTCCTCAGTATTTATCCAAAAGAATTAGAGTCAGCATATTAAGTGATACACKTATACCCATGTTTATAGCAGCACAATTCACAATAACCAAGGTATGGGAGCAGCCTAGGTGTCCCTCGACAGATTAAGAGAGAAATAAAATGTGGTATATGTACATAGTGGGGGTTTATTCAGCCATCAAGAAGAAAGAAATTATATCATTTACAGTGAAATGGTTGGAACTAGAGAACATCATGTTAAGCAAAATAAGCCAGACTCAGAAAGTCAAAGAGGTTGTATGTATATTTTTTTTCTCACATGGGGAAGGTAGAGAGAAAAAAAAAAAAAACAGGAAAAAGGGATCTCATGAAAATAGAAGGGAGACCAGTAGGGCAAGGGAGGGGATGAAGGAACATAGGAAGAAGGAGCAAAAGGAGGTACTGAGGAATGAAATTGACTCAATTACATAAACATGTATGTACAAATATGTCACAATGAATTCCACTATTACATATAATTATTGTGCACCAGTAAAACGTTTTTTAAGAACTCAAAGAACGGTGTGGCACAAACTTCTATTGAGGGCCAGAGGCCAAGGCACAAGAGAGCTCAAGAGAATTTTGGTGAGAGTTAGAGATAGTATCAATGGTAGCTAACTGAAGTGGAAGCTAGAGACAGGGTTTTTTTTTTTTTTTTTTTGTCACTGGTATCTCTGAACACGCATGTTGCACATTGAGTGTCTTGGAATTGAACACACATCTAATAACATCTTTAGACTGGCTTGAACAGTTAATGTCAGAATAGAATTTAAACCCCAAGAGATTAAATTACCTGTAAAGATAAGAGCCCCTCTATTTGTCTGATTCACCTCACTTATCCTAACCAAACCCCAACCCTCTATGTATTTAAAATTTTGACATTTTATTCATCATAAGTTTTTTTAAACTATATTTTTTTCAAATATTGTTTATCTTGATTACACCCTAAAACTTTGTACCTGAAGTGTCTGTTCTGCTCCCAGTGAAAGTACAACTGATGTCACATTTGGTTCTTAGGTAACCAAAGTGTGAAAACCAGTTGAATGAAGACAATTGGAAGGACCTACAAATATTTACCCAGGAGGGTGTGGGAGGCATATTTAGTATGGAAGGTCTGTGGTGGAATTTCCTGGTGTGTTTACTGAAACCAACGCATGACAATTGCAGAAAGCAGCATTTTTTTTCTCAGTATAAAGACCTTCCAACCATGAAAATTGTTCAGAACTTTGCATTATCTTGAAGAGTAATGATCTGTATCTTAGTAAATATTCAGCCAAAGGCCTTTCTTTTCTCCAGGATTTTTGTGGAGGTTTTCAGACCTACAGAGAGAGATGCTCAGGGACCTACAAAACTAGATAGGACTGAGCACCACTTAAGGATATTGAGAGTTAATATATTTTTTCATAGATGGCAATGAGGCTATCAAAAGCACCGTATTCTAGTTGGATAGCCACAGTAATTATATATAGTAGTACTCCTATGAACTGTAATATTGGAAAACTGAGAATTCACCATGTTGGAGAAAATTTTTAAAAAATTATTTTTTTAAAAAAGTGGACATTATGTATTTCTTGACCAAAACCAGAGCAGTGATTTTATATTTATTTCTGACATGAACAAAAACTGATTATTTTTCATTTTGATTCCCATTGGCACTTAATTTA